ATCTCCTCCTCCGAGTCCGAGTCCTGCATCTTGCGGGCCATCAGCGTCAGGAACTCGGGGAAGTCAATGGTGCCGCTGCCGTCCTGGTCCACCTCGTTGATCATGTCCTGCAGCTCCGCCTCCGTCGGGTTCTGGCCCAGCGAGCGCATCACCGTGCCGAGCTCCTTCGTCGTGATGGTGCCATCGCCGTCCTTGTCGAACAGCGAGAAGGCCTCCTTGAACTCGGAGATCTGCTCGTTGGACAGTTGATCAGCCATTTGAAAAGTAAGCCTTTGGTGGTGGTGATTCCTCTTTTTTTGTTGGTTTTGGTTTTGTTTTTACTGTAGACAAATAATCCCCAACCTGTTGGGGGTGAAAAAAATAAATAAATACGAAATTCAGCAGAAAGTGAAAAAAGGAGGGGGAAAAAAAAAAAGAAAAAAATACTGCGGCTGTAGAAAAACAACCATGACGGTGTATTTGTCATGTGTATTCACCATGGCTGCTAGGGAATCAAGCAAAAAAAAAAAAAAAAAAAAAAACAATTAGGCGGCAAATAAACCTAAAAAGAAAAAACAAAAAAACAAAAAAACAACAACCAAACGGCAGGTATGAATTGAACGCGGCAAACGTAGATGCATAAATGCATATGGTATTCTCCACCATCAGCACGACGACTACTTCTGCTGCCAAATGAAACATTGGGACAATAAATGAGTCAAGCGCAAGAGGGTTACAGGTGTGAGTGAGAATAACTTCAAAAATAAACACTCGCACACAAACAAATAGATTCAAATACACATTAAAGCAAGCAAAAAAAAAAAAGAAAGAAAGAAAGAAAGAAAGAAAAGAAGGCTCCCATACTGGGTTCACACCGTCTCTATTTTTTCTGCCTCGTCGTGAGGCACCTCAAATTTCCGCGGAGCTGTTCCATCACAACATTTGCATCCAACGACTCCACGGCACGTACCTCAGATGCATTCTCAACACCTTTAGTCATTGCCAAAAAGTGCCCCTGAAGACTAGTCGTTACCTGACCTTTTTTAGCGTTCCCAAATGACAGTTCCGCACGGTACTTGTATGAGATTACACAACTCATTGGAGCACAAACAGCCAAGGCATACTCAATGTTATCCATCGGCTTTGGCTGTGATGTAAAGTACTGCCACTCGCGGCGAAGTTCCTCGTCGTTTGCGATGCAAGACTCCTCTACGGAAGTCGCGACCGCACGTGTTTTTGACTGCGGCTGACCTGCATTGTGTTTCTCATTCTCCACTTCCTCCTCCTCCTCCTCTTTATGCCCCTCTTTCCCATCAACTGAGTTGTTACGAAGCAAAGAAATGGAAGATTCATTATGGCTGTTAGTTTCCCCGGACTTATCTTCATCAATAAATTCGGTCACTTCCTCAACGTCCTCTTCTCGCTTTTCATCAAAGTTTTTTTCCTCAAATGCTTTTGATGGAAACAACTCATGTCGCTTCTCCTTTTCCCGCTGAAGCGCCAGCACCTCCAGCTGCACCTTCGACATTTGATTGCCATTAAGAAGGGCGCCATACAGACGATCTTCCTCGTCCTGATCTTTATACTTCTCCTGAATTTTCTTAAGCTTCTTCCGCTGATGCTTTGTCAGCTGCTGCATGCTTTTTTGTGGAGAGGGAGCAGACGCAACCCTGGTGCCACCACCGGCACCACTCCCTTTTCCTCCTCGCTCGGCCCCAGCAATTACTTTTTGTGTTGTTGTTGTTGTTGTTGTTGTTGACGGGGTTGACGTGGTCTTTTTCGAAGCCGTCATCCCCTTCTGGGCGGCCTTCCCCTCAGCGGCCTGACGCCCCTGACGTTGCTGCTGCGGCTGTGGATGACGACGCGGTCCGCGCAGCTCCCAAAAGGACGGCAATGGATGAAGTGTGGTGGCGCTATCAGGCGGAAGAAATGCACCGTATTCTCCCTCCTCCCCTTCCTCTTCCAAATGCCGTGGGCGAAGTTCCCCTTCGGATATGAAGTTTGGCAACTCGTCACGGTCGTTAGGATCAATGCGGCGGGTGGAAACGCGGAATAAAAGTCCACATGCGAATGTGATTGGCTGTGGTCGCAGGTAGTGCTTTTCCCCGTCGAAAAGGTAACAGCCACTGGCGGTACCTCCGTTGATCTGTGACGCATGCACCCACCAGGCAGCAACACTGAATTTACCCTCCCACGCAGAGCTGCGGCTCACGCACCACGCACCAGCTTCATCAAGGCTTGTCATGTGTATACGACACGTCTTTGCCTGACAACCCTCCTGAGGATCGCCTTCTACATCCTCCACAAAGGCGGTGGTCCACGCAGAGCCAATAGGCCGAAGTACACAAGGGAGTGCACCATCCACGTCGCAGTGCACAAAGACATCACCCAATTGCATGACACGTCGTATGAGAATCTCCGTCGTCTGTAGGTCTTTCCCCTGCAGCACAAAGTCGCCACAAGAGGTTCGGAACCAAGAGAACTTCTCCCACCAAAAGCGACGTCGTTCCTTCACAATGGCCTTCTTTGTCTTCTGCTTGGCTGCAAGACGCTCCCCTTTCTTCTCGGCTCCCGCCAAGGCCTTTGCTGTGGCAGCGACGGTTTTTTCGTACTTGATACGGTTGGATTTCATTTTCGCAAAGTACGTCGTCGCGTTGGCGTACGCCGTTTTACTAAGTTCCACTTCAATGACCATCGGTGTCACATCGCAGTCCTCCTCACCTTCATCCTCCTGCTCATTGGATTCCACCAGCACGGAGATGCTGTTGCGCTCAAGAAAGAGATCATGCACCATGTACGCCACTGGATGTCCTTCCGCATGTCGTCGCTTCAATAGGCTGCGCAGCGCATCCCACTGAATTCCCGCAGCAAGTGCCCCGTTAATAAGCCCAATCGCCTCGTCAATCTTTACCGCATTTTGAATGATACATTCCCCTTTACGTTGGTTCTCTTGCTCTTCCATTTCGAGTGCATTCAGACGACGCTGGTGATCCCGCTCAAATTTATTCCTCTTAGATATAACGGAGGTCGTCTTCTTTTCATTGTGTTGCTCAATCTTTTCCGTCTCTGTGTAGAGAAAGAAGGCATCGCATACGCTACCAAAACTTTTTAAAAAGGACGTCACCACACCGTCACTGCTGTACTGGGCAAGGAGAACAGGACTAAAGTCATCATACTTCACAGCCTGCATCTGCTGTTGTGATTCGTCAGCCACGTTGACATTCATAGACTTTTCCTCCTCAGCCTGTGACTTGTCTTCTTCAATTTTGGATGAGGCTTCTTGGCCACCTTTGCGAGATTCTTTCCTCTGCCTATGGTTGGAAATCAAATACCCGCCCCCAGGCAAAGGAGAGAAGGTAATCTCCCATGCCTGTAGCATTCCAGGTAGAAGCAGCTTAAACATCGTCTCCGCGTCCGACGTTATCTCGCCCTTTTTCACATTCTTCACTCCTGTGACGGTCAAAATGTGATCTGCAAGGGCAGGTCCAAAGTGATGCACAGCAGAAAGTGTAGAGCGTATGGTCTCATAGTCCGCATGTCGAGCAAAGACGGTGTGCCATTCTTGCTGTAGCGCTTTTGTGCGCCGCTGCTCCTCCTCCTTCTCCTTTCCACTCTCCGATTGCGCCATAACCTCCTTCTCCTGCTGTTCTTCAAAAGGCCTTGTCACGGGGTACAACTCCCGCACGAACATTTTGATATCATCATCCTTGTGTGTGCGGAGGAGAAGCAAAATGCGGTACTCGTGGTCGGTTAACACAACGTTGCCCTTCGAAAAGAGTTCAATGATAATGTGATAGGAGGCACCCTCGCCCACACCAAAGCGAAAGTCTACCGTACGATCATGCTGCAGTTGTGTGACGGAGTCAAGCCGCCATGCCCGTACATGTTTACGGAGCTTAAGCGTAAACTGCGAAGGCACTTTTGGCTTCTCTCGCACAAGTTGCGTAAGATGCATCCGTATCCCACTTTCAAGCAAAAGTGTCCGTTTGTTTTCGCCGTGGCCAAATTTAAACAGAAACATCTTTGGATTAATATCATATACGTTCAGTAGGCGTAGGCCGAGAAGCTCCGACCGCATCTCCTCCACGGAAGCCCGTACATCAAGTGCCGTCATGCGTTGCTTCACCATTTTTCTTACCGCTTTTCCCAAAGCTCCTCTTTTGCACCAACAAGTTGCCGTTATTTTATTTTATTTTTTACTTATTTTTTTGTTTTTGTAATTCTTGTCTAGTGCACTTGTGTCTGCCTGTATATTTATATGATGGTCGAGTCACTCCTTGGGAGAGTCAGACAGGCGGTGTGGCCTCTTCGCGATATTTTTCTTGCCGCCCATCAAACCGGCGAGGTCGCACAGAACAGGAAAAGAAAGAAAAAAAAAAAGGTAAGCGGGCAATGGCCCCATGTGTAATATTGCAAAGAAAATTCAACAAAAAGACACATGTGGTAACTTCCAACACGCCACGGAAGTGAAGTCTTCATGCATGAAGGGACAAATGCAAAGAATAGGGAAAAAGAGAAAGAGAAAGAGAGAGGGAGAGACGGACGCCTCCACCCCACCGGTTTATCCCCCCCCCCCCCTCTTCCTCCTTCTCTTTCCTTCAACTGTAACACAATAAATTACACCCAACATATCCACACAACGTTAAACTCAAATCCAACCAACCAACCAAACAATACATGCACGGATACCATAGATGCCAAACGCCTCCTTTTCTCTTCTTGTTGTTGTTGTTGTTGTTGTTGTTCCTTCTAGTCCAATGCGGTTCTGTCATCAGTAAAAAGGTGCGTGCACTAATGATCATATTAGGAACAATTACTATTACACTCACGCATGTATTTCATCGACTCAGTGCCTTTCACTTCATTCTCCATCACTCCTGTTGTCATGGCGGCCTTCTTCTTATAATGCCTCCTCCTCCTCTCCGCTGTCATCCACACCATAATTGACAACAACTTCAGGTGCCACATCTTTTATCTTTTCCAACGGCGGTTCCATTACGGATGCTGCTACCAGCGGTGCTGATGATAGTGTTCTTGGTAATGGCCACGCCACCTCCAGTCGCTCCATGACTCCACGTACCTCCTCCGCCGTCGTACCAATTCCACACGCCATGACAAGTAGCGGGCATGGCAGAACCTCATCGGTGTGCATGCCGTAGTTACGAAACGACAACCCACACAATTGTTTTATCGTCGAGTCAGGTACAATTACCCGTGGTCCTGTGACAGCGCCACGAAATAGACGCGCTCCTATCGCCTTTGCATTCGCCGCCCCTCCCACCGTATGCATGGTAACTGCAAAGCTAATGTCATTCCTATGTGTTCCACGTACTGTACAAGACGCTGTTGCGGCAGCCCCAGTAGAGCCAGCAGCGGAGGCGGAAGCGGCGATGTCATTTACATCTTCTTCCTCTAGCAAAACTTCACCCCTAGCCATCGCAAACCTACGCAGCCCTTGCTGAACCATGTTCAGCACCTCATAACGTACTTCCCAGAGGCGTTGAAAGCCGCCGCGGCCCATACTCAGAGCCGTTATAAAGAGATCCACAATCGGCGAAATACTTGCGCGCCCTGCGTACAAGGCGGCAGCACGTTCCACCACATGCTTTTTACCGCTAAGCACGGCGCCGCCTACGGGGACAAGAAAATTTTTGTCTCCTGACTGCACCATGGCGTCTATGCGCCCCAACCGCATCGCCGCATCCAGACGCCGCATGATGACTCGGCTTTGCACGCCGTAGGCATTATTGACCACGTACGGGATATTCATGAATTTACAATGCTTGGCGATGGCAAGAACGTCGTCCGGGATACGTGGAGCAAAGCAGCTGGTCGTCGAAAGCACACAAAGCACATGTTTGGGCCCACCAACACGTTGAATCGCGGCGACGATGTCGTCCAGGTGGACTTGAAGAAAAAAGGGATGCAGGCACGTCTCACTACCTAACCCTAAACCACAGGTGCCTTTTCGCTGCAACGGTGCATGCCGAAGTTCCACAATCTCTGGCACAAATCCTGCCGCTTCAATACACTTCAGTGCCGTCTTTTGATCAATACGGGCCCAAATGACATAGCGGGGCTCGTCCTCCACGGCACCCTTCAGCAAATCCGGCATTTCCTTCCGCTTCTCATCTCGCCGCAACAACGCCAGAGCGCGTAACACCAACGACAGTGTCATTCCTGTAGCCATGGGGAAAACCACAGCCGACTCAATGGACGGCGCTCCTGCGAGTCGCAGCAGATCTAACATCATGCAGTTTGTTAATTTGTGTATCAAACTCGAACCGGCTGCCTTTGGTTGGTCGCTCAAAATATCACCAGAGCGTCCGATACCGTGAGCAAGGCCGTAGTTCCTCCGTGCAACAAGTGGCGCTGCGACGCGACCCTCCCGCTCCCCCGCACCGACATGTGCAGGAAAGTTATTTGTATCCATCAACGCAAGTTGATGCAGCAGCCACTCAATGGCAACATCTGACATGCCCTTCTCAGGACACCGACGCTGGGCAAGGACGGAACGTACCAAACGCTCATTTGCGCGGAGTGCCTCTCCTCCTGCCTGAACATAATTCGCCGAGACAAAACCCTCCGCCAGCGACAATGCCCGCTCATTCATGTCGGCGTGCACACACACACACACACACAAGAAAAAATAATAATAAAAAAAAACAGGGCGAAAGCGTGGGGGGGACCAAACGAGCAGGCGACTTGTACGTATAAAAAACTTCGCTTCTATTTCAACCCTTCACGTCTACTACCCCGGTTAGTGTGGGACAGTTTTTTATGCAGGCAGCCACAACACACAGAGGGGGAAAAGAAACTAAAAAAAAAAGAAAAAGTTCATCCCACCGCGTGATTGGACTGTTTGAGCAGAGAAGTGACATGTCGCCGGCAAATTCCCCCATCCCAACTTGCCAAACCGTCTCTCTCCTCTCTCTCTCTCTGTGTGTGTGTGTCTGCGTCCTCCTCACGACTGCTACTCTTCTTTTCCCTCCCCCTTCATCCATCCGCACTCCTATTCTCCTTCTTCGTCTGGTCCTTCTCTCTTCTCATCTCTTTCCTCTTCCTTCCTCGTTTATTAAGTGAAATTATCAGAAAGAAAAACAACAACAACACAACCCTCGCAACGTCACACATCACCCCTACTTCATCCCACATGACACATATCAACCAATTAAATCTGCAAGAGTGTGAGCGACGATCCACATGCAACAATAACAAAAGACTTCCCACCGCCCAGCGACCCTGCGGTTGCCACGCTGTTGACAACGGATCTGGTTGTGTGCACATGCCGCAAGGAGCCGTAACCACCGCTCATTGAATCCCCGGCGACGGTGCATAAGTGCAGTTCGTTACCGCACGCAAACAGCAGTTGGTTGTCAGAAACGGCCAAAACAGCCGCCAGACCGCGACGATCACGTGGCAGTAAACTCGAATTGAGAGCTGAAAAACTTGACACCGTCAGTGACTGTGCATGTTTCAACGTGTCGTTGGGACACACGACATTATAAGCAATTGCCCACCACCCTGACGCGATGCAATTTTGTCCTGTACGCTCAGCAGACTGCCCCTCTGCACCGGCAACAATAAGTCGCATCTGACGTGCGGCAGCATTGTAGCAAAGCGTGGCATCGTTTAAAATAATTTTTTTGGCCGCAAGCGGTCCCACCGCCGAGGTACAGACGTTGTGCACAACATCCGAAAGACTGTACGCATACAACACATGTGGCAACGCTCGTGGACTGCCCCGAATTGGATCGTCATCTAACAAAATGGAGAGTCCAACCTCACTCTGTCGTGCCTGTCGCTGCATGTGGTGTTCAATTAGCAGCTGCACAGAACCACCCACAACACTACGTGTGATATAGCGCACCTCCCCATTGTCAAGCACAACCACAAGAGCCACATCCATCGTGAAGGCAGCATGGTAGCGCTCTGGTACCAACACTCGCACCACTTCGGCTGTCGCAAATGAAACACAAAAAGTGTCACTCATCGGCTGTCCAACATGCGGCGGGTGGTTTTTAGTAAACACCCGCACTACCGCTTCCGTTGCCTTCGCCCTCAAAAACTCATCAAAGCGCTGCGTGTCAACCACCACCACACATGTCGATGAAGCCGCGACAATAAATTCCGGTCGCCCCGCCGGGTCAAAACCAACGCAGACATCCGTCACTAAGTCCTCCACAGAAATTAACCCGTCAGAGTACTCGCAGAGAGACGTCTCGCACACCTTAAAAAGCGCCGGTTGGTTTCCACCAGCACGACTTTCCACCACAAACAAGCACAGCGAACCACAACTCGTCCCTACAATAGCCAAAGCCGCACCACCGCCCGGCAGAAGCGCAACCGTCATACATGTCACAAGGCCACTCGTGAAAACCAGATTCCCCACTTCCACTAATGGACCAAGCGCACACATTTCCTCAACAGCGGCACCGCCCTCTAACGGCAGAGATCGCATCATTGTCGATAACAAGGCTACTGAGACGATGCCACCACCAGCAGCCAACACCACGCAACCGCAAGGTAAATTAACGGTACGCACAGCAACTACAGGATGCGGCAAAACACAACCACCGCATTTCTCCAACATTGTAGAAAAAACAGCGGAGGGCCTCGGAAACTTTGCCGGCATCGACACACCTGGAGCCTCCATTCACGCAGTTGCACGTTTTCACAGCTATAATTGCACTTTCAAAACAATAACCTGTTGAACAAACACGCACACACAACTAACAAGTGAAAACAAGAATACTACAAGAAATGAACACAACACAAAAAATAATTCAAAAAAAAAAAAAATAAATAAAAAGTTGTCAAGAATAAAAAAAAAAAAGGACTCCAACAGCCAAAAGACATTAAAAATCACTCTCAGCAAAGCGAGAGGAGGAGAGGCAAGTCACACAATCGCCCACCGCTGGGTAATACAATAAGTACGGCATCAAACCAAGAAAATGTGAGCACAGTTAAAACACACACAGAAAAAAAAAGGTGCTCCTCGCCCTTGCCCCGTTCCTCACACTCCCACAGTTACTATTACCGTTATTCTCTCTACTCAGTCCCTCACCAGCACGCCACGCTCAATTGAACACACGCCCCTCCAGCACAGGCCTCGGGATCGTCGGGCCCTCCCAGCACAGGTAGTCCGTGATGCGCTCCCGCTGCGCCGCGACGTCAGCGACCTCCTCCCAGTCGAACAGCTCCGTGTCCTCCACGTCCTCCACAATCGCCGGCATGCCCCGGCCGCGGAACACCCACAGCGCCACAATGTCGTGCCGCCTCTCCTCCCCAATGATGAGTGCAACGCCAAACGCGTACTTGCGCACGTGCTCCATGCGCTGCATCTCGGTGCCCTCCTTGTGCTTGGAGCAGACCCTCCCATCCTCCCGATCCACGGCCTGGGTGCTGCGAAAGGCTGCCGAGAGGTGCCACTTTTGTGGAAGATACAAATGTGCAGAAACAACGGCCACCCTCACTCCCTCACACCTCCGCTCCCTCCACTCGCCCACGCACAAGGGCGGTGCCATGGGGAAGAGAAGCCCGCCGCACAGCGCATGCACAAGGGCACAAACAAAAGCAATGCCACCCACGTCGCACCGCAAGATAGAGCAATGCGCTCAGCACACACCATCCGCTCCCCTCCGAGCGCACTCAGCAGGCCGGTGCCCAGTCACCCTCGTGCCATCGCAATGGGGAGCACAAACAATCGTAGTCGCGGACCATCGGTGCCACTAGCAGGAAAGGAGAAGTGGGGGCATGTCAGCAGCACGGCCAGCAGAGGGACACTCAACGGGACACGGAGACACACAGCGACAGTGACTACGGTAACAATGGAATCACGCTGCGGTGAGTTACCAAATAAAAGGAAAAGGTGAGATTCCGGCATGACCCTCAAAAGAAACAATTAGGGAAATTTAATTCGGCAGAACTTTTGTTTCATTTGCCATGCAGCGCAATAGAAACGACCGTGTGTTTCTGTGTATACATATTGCCTGCGCAACAAAAACTAAGGAAAAATTTCGTACTGTTCCACGAGCCCACACAACATCCTTCACATTTCATGCGGCATCCGGCCTGTTCCTCCGCTCCTCCTTTCGTGCAGTCCGTGGAACGCACAGCAATGAGGCCGGCACCGTGTGTGGGCAAAAAAAAAAGCAAACAAGAGGGGGGAAACAAATCACTCATCACGGTATTTATCAACCAAACACTGCGTAAAGAAAAACACAACAGTACTGATTATAACAGACAAACTGCATCAAAGGCAACATTGAAAAGCAAAAACATCGAAAGAATCAACAAACAGCAAAGCGTTAAAAAATAAATAAAAACGGCGGCATAAAAAAGAGCGAGGAAAGCGGCACGTATTCTCCGTGAGGAGTCGCAAATCCACACTCTGTGGCTCAGAAGACTGCCACCCCCCAAACACAATCCCAGAAGCAGCAACACACAAGAAACACACGCGCACGGTATTGTTGCCGCTCAAGTCACGCAGTATCAATTTCACGTCGTTGGGAGAGGGCGAGGCGGTCGTCGGGACTCACGCCGCTCCAGACACTGCGAGGTGACTATTTGTAATAGGGATTCATGTCCAGTGGCATTGCGTTGTGCCCATTCATTTCCCTCCGGTAATATCCTCAGCAACGTGCGCTCTGACGCTGTCAACTACTCGAACCTTCTCGGGTGGTGTCGGAGCCACTTCTCTCGTCGGAACGGGGACCCTGTCCTTGAGTGCACGCATCGCAGCGAAATTCAGTAGGCGGTTGTGCAGAAAAACGTTCTCCACCTTCACATGAGATTAGTGCCCACCGCACTCCCCAAAGCAAAACCTCAGGACCTCAGGTGGCCTCTCGCCCGTTAACGGCACCTATTCCTCCCCAGCAACTCACCATCAACGTCCACAGAGGCCTTGTTGCCTTGCAGCATGAGTGCCACTTGGCATTCTTCCTTCGGCTCCCACTTCTTCTTGTGGCTGTACGACAGTTCCATGGTATGATTGGACTCAGTGTCCGCCAGCATCGCGGTCAGCAGAGGAATGCTCCCTCTCGGAGTCAATTCGATGGCCACCGACGCTACAAGTGTGAAGTTGTGGCTCAAAGATATATGACGCACTTCATCACCCCGAGTGTTCACAGGCCATATTGCCCTGGACTCAACTCCCGTCACTTGTAACCCATCGTTGTCCTTCACTGCACCTGTCACCGTTGCATTCAGGCAAAGGTACTCGTCGTTCCACCTTTCGTTTCAGGCCGCACCGGACAAAACTGCCACCAGCCCCGCCGTGGGTATAGACAAGCTGGAGAAGAAAATGTCCTTTTGCGCCAAAGTACTGAGGACGGACCTGACCGCACTCAGTTCCTCCATCAGGCGGGAAAGTGAAATGACACGGCATTCACCGTTGCCCCTCCGCTGTAAAAGATGCAAACTGCCATCCGAGTACAGCAGGTTGCTGGCGAGCGTCCAATTCGCAGCATTGTCCACGGCAACCGGTCCAGCAGAAAGCGTGCGGTTGCTGTCCGTGACCCAAAGGCAAAGCGCAGTGGCCCTTTTCTTCACCGAGGCGTGCCCTCTCTGAGTGTAAAGCATGACCTTCCTTTCCTCAATGGTCGCGGTGATGAGGGCATCCACACGCAGGCTTTCCTTCTGAGGGACTCCTGACCGGGCGTTGACCCACACACCTTAGAGTGCCCCGATGGCCTCCGTCCACGCTGTCCCCATGTCACGCGACTCGTACACCCTCCGGCCATTCTCGCAGTCAACAATCATGAGAAGTGATCCCTCCCATCCGGTGACGCAGGGGTTAAGGCATTGCGCAGGGGAAATGTCTTCAGAGAGCGTCCAGATACTGCCGTTGTCCGTCGAGCTAATGATCATGGAGTAAACGTCTTCTGCTTCATCCTTCGCCGTCAGAGGAAACACAAGCGTGCCATCCTCCATCACAACACCTGAGCCAACAGAAGCAATGAACTCCGTCCACTCACCTTCGTGAGAAGCAGAAGAGATCAGCTTCGGGAATGGTTTGGGGTCGCCCCATTCGATCCGTCCACTCCGCTTGCCACCCGTGGGATCCGTGACATCACCCACAAACAGTTTCGGCTCCAAGCCGCCCTCTCTCCAACACCCACCTTCGTAGGACACATCAGAGCCTCCCGCAAGAGAAAAAACTCTGTGGCCCTTCGTGATTGTTGTGCGGCGGAGCACAACACCCAAACTCTCCTTTCCCTCCGCTGCTCCAACCACAGTGTGTGCCCTCCATGTATCTTTTATTGACCTCGCCAACAACAGTGGACCAATCCCACGCAGAGTCGATGCACCCCGCAACCACATCAGAAGAAAAGGACATAATTAATTGACCAAGTCGATATTCGGCATCCATGCAACCTTCAAAGAAAGCAGAAATTACTCCACCAGCACTGACGAGAGAGGGTGAAACAAATGAATCCCTCGCCGTAACTGGAACAATCCCATCCTTCGGCTGCACCAGCGTCGTCTGCGCCACAAATAGATCGACTCCCTGCGGCAACTCAGCATTTATTAAACCACTCATCGCATCATCAATGGGATTCCCCTTCGGCTCGGTGACAGGCGTGGGCCTTCTTCCGGGAGGTGCCGGAGCCACATTGATATTTTAAACGTAAGCAAACTCAGGCCTCGTCTCGGACGTGTTGGTCGCCGTGTTGGATGCGGGACTCGGATCGACGGTGTTGGGTCCGTCAGCCGCCGCAGACAGTCGCCAATCCTCGTGTTGACGTGACGGCTCAGCATTCACTTGCGGTGCAGTTGTCCCACCAGATTTTGTGTCATCCTTCCCTTCACGGGGTGGCGGCAACTGACAGATGCCCGTCTGGTCAGCATCGCTGCTCCGTGCAGGCGGATGGATGGTTCCATCGGGATAAAATTGACGCCACCACAATTCATAAGGGCCGGCTTATTTATGTGTCGTCACATTCATCGTGAAGGCAACGGTGGCCCCTTCCTCTTTCCTTGCACAGCTGGCAGCACAGTTGCTACACGTGTGCACCGCATTGGCCACATGGCGCACAGCACCCAGCTCACCATTCCTGCAGTGCATGCGCACACCAAAGCCACTAAAGGTATAATTCTCACACTCAGCCTCAGCACTGGCAGCAGAACACTTCCTCCACACACACACACGCACACACGCGATAGCTCAGGCTGCCGTCACTCGGAGCACACGACACATCCACCGGCACAACCACCGCATCCGCATCACCAGATACATCTCCAGGACTCCCAGCAGCCGTCACGCACACGAACGAGCAGCAGCACAAGAGCGCAACGACCAACACGGCGCCGCACCGTCATCATCGCAGCCATCGTCACCCGTGGTGGAGTCGCTGGAGCCAGTCAGCTGATCCGTGAGACAGAAGAAAAAGAATGCAACAAGAGGGAGAGGAACGGAGCACAGCGGATACAGCGAGAGAGAGCAGACAACATGCGGAGAAGGCAGCAGGCCCAGCCGCACAGTTCACACACCACGAGACGGCATCCACGCAGGAAAGGCACACAACGCCAGCAGCCACAAACCATGCAGGAGGAGAAGACATCCACCACCATCTCCTCCCAGCTCATTCCCACAGCCAACGGAAAATGGCCAAAACCCGCGGCCACAACACAACGCACACGGAGCGAGCACCCACCACACCAGCCACACGCGCTGGCGAACCCTCATCCATCCATGACGCGGCAACAAAATTTCCAGCCATCCCGCCATCAATGGGACGCGGAGCCCAACTCAACGCAGTCACACGCGGTGCTCCACACCCGCAGGAAAGGTGACGCGGGCTGCGCACTCCCTCCTCCCTTCTCCTCATAGCCACGGAGGAAGACAACAGCCGCCACACGCAGCTGCCAGCATGCACTGCAAAAGAAGCATTCAAACCCACTGCAATGTGCATCTTGTGTGTGTGCCTGCAGAAACACAAAGCAAAGAAGTAAAGAAAGGAAGCAGAGTATGTGAGGGGACGCACAAAAATGTACAGCGGAGGTGCGTGGCGGAAGCAACAAGAAGAAGACCGCTCAAACTCACGATTGCACCGCAGTCCAAGCAGCGGCAATTCACACAGTATTTATTGCAAACAAAAAAACGTCCCCCTCATCTTACACAAACCCCATCACACAAAATAATTATAAATAAAAAGAAATCGTCCATTACTTTTCCACACAAATTTTAAAATAAGAAAAAAACGCCTGGCTGCCGTGTGGCCACACCAAACTGTCTGTATATATTTTGTCCGAAAAGAAAATTAAAAGATATTTAAATGTCCTTCAACCGTCCGACCCTCTGTGTGTCCGCACATCGTTTATATTTCATGGGGTCATCTGCGTGTTGCTGCTCCCCTCAGCCCTCCCATCGGCGCGCGAGTGCGGCCCGCAGAGCACAGTCACTCGTGTGTGTGGGGACTGAGAGAAGCACGCAGACATGACGGGAGTCGCGTCACTCCATCGGGAGAGTGAGCGCAGCAAAAAGAAAAAAATCATCGGGGGGGAGAGAAATACTCACGAGGCCGACCCCGAAAGAAATGCCGGCGCTTAAAGCGCACACGAAAAGCAAAAAAATCTTAAAAACACGGCGGCAGGGTGTGGCTGTGTGTGTGGCGCTGCGGGTGTCTGCCAGCCCTGGCCGCAAAGAAAGCAAAACAAGAGGGAAAGAAATGTGTGCTCCGCTCCACAGGCCCTCGTCGCACGCCCACACGTCACGGCTCCCTCAGCGCGCCGTTCGTCGCGGCCCCTCCTCATGCGGGCAGCAGGCGAGGCGCACAGGGCCGTCGTCGTGAGCGTGTCGGTGGTGTGCGAGTGGAGCAGTTGGGCGGAAACACACGGCACCCCTCACAGGAAGAGTGCGGAAGAAACAATTAAAGAGGGAAGAGTAGAAAAGAAAAAACGTCCACGGTGATTGCCCCCAAAAGCAAAAAAAAGGGATGGGAGATGGGAGACTAGAAAAACACACACAAAAAAAAGTAAAATCAACCAAAGAGAAGCAAACAGTAAAATAAATTTAAAATACGCAAAAAAAAAGATTTATGAGTGAAATTTGTTCCCATGGGGAAGTAATTCGGTGCTGAGGTGTTCCACGCCGAGACCACACACTCCTCAAGAAGCGGCAATCCCCCACAGTCCCAGCAGAAGGAGCAGCGGCAGCAGTCCGCCTCCGCAAACAGCGCTGCCATCACCATTTGCCCCAAAGTGGCGAGCGGCACCGACACCCGTTGCTTCTGCCGCCACTGTTTTCAGACCTGTCAGCTTCGGAATAGAAATTTTGTTTGCGTTGAGGACGCGGATCGCATTGTCATCCAACGGGCGGTTGTACAGCAGGACATTCGTCGCGGTCACAGGCACGTCTTCCTTGCTCCCTGCGCTGCCCCCATCCCCTCCAATGTAGAAGTGGGAGATTCCTTTCGAATCCGTGTTGTTCAATTCACATGGCGCATCTCCCACACGCTGACCATCGACGTACGCGGAGCACTGGGTGCCGTTCCGTAGCACAATGGCCACCTGGTGTGTTGTCTCTGGCTCCCAATTACTGCGGAGCTCCTTGGTCGTTTTGCCACCGCACAGCAACTGCCACTTCCCCTCTTTGTCGTACGACAGTCCCAGGAGCACAGTCTTCTTGTTGTCATTCATCGTCGCACCCATCAATGGAATGGGGGTATCTCCCTTCGGCTCACCGTGGACGGACAACGTCGCCACAAGAGTGAAGTTGTGGTTCGCAAAGTGGTACAGCTGATTCTCCCCCTGCCTCCCAACAGGCCACTCCGCCCACGCTCCATGGAACGTCACTCCATCCGCATACCCTGTTGCCACCCCATTCGTTCCTTTCCTTACTGTGGCGTTCACTCCGAGGTACTCGTCCTTCCATGTGTTACCAGAGAAGTTTTTGGACAAAAAGCCAACCAGCCCATCCGTGATCTTAACAGCGCTGCAGCCATTGCCAGTTGAGGGATTCTTCGCAGCAGTTGAAGGGCACAGCTTGGAGACACGGCCGTCCACTTCCTTCCAGGTCGCCAGCACCTCCCTCACCCGCTTCAGCTGCGCAGTCAGACGCACAGAGACCATACCGAGTGATGACTCCCCATCGCCCTTCTTCTTCTCGTACAGTGCAATCAACCTCTCATTAGTATTATGTCCACCTCCAGCACTTTTGTACAGCAGGGAGCTGGCGGCAGCGTCATCATCACCGGACACCGGCCCAATATCAACAATGTGCGTATTGTCCGTCAGCCAAAGATGAAGTTCACGCTTTTCTTTTCCCTTTCTGTTTGAATACACCGGCAGAGTAACGAGCATCACGTCCCTGTTCCCAATCGTCGCTGTGCTGAAACCGCTTCCAACGCCCTTCTCATGTCGCTTTTGGTTGTTGCCCCACACGCGCGAGAGTGTCCCGAGTGCCTCCGTCCACGACTCCCCCTTGTCACCGATCTCGTACACCCTGCGGCGGCCGTCATCGCACGCAGTCATCATCATGAGTTTTCCCTTCCACTCCACGACGGAGGGATCACTGCAGCCATCGGCAGACATCCCCTTCGACAGCTTCCCACCCTCAGTGACTGAGTAGCATATGATCAGCGAAACGGCCTTTCCATCCTTCGTGCCTTCCACGGGCAACACAAGCGTACCGTCCTTCGTCTGAACACCCGATCCACCGCCGCCAATCAGCCCTGTCAAGGATTTGTGTTGTTTTTCAAACTCAGTCCACGGAGTAACGGAAGTATCTTTTCCATAAATTTTTT